CATAAACGTAACTCCTTCCACTCTCCCGTACCATCCAGCCAGGCCATGGGTCTCTGTAATGCAGGTTCGGTTCCGGTTCTTTTGGGAAACTGACTGCTGGGGAGGGAGCCAGATCACTGATCTCCTCGCTACCAGAGGACCAGTCGCCATGGCAGGTACTATCTTTCATGACAGGCTGCTATTCACTTTATACCAGTCCTTGGTTACCTGTAGCATCTTCTCTTCCACTCCTTCTACCGCTTTAATCCTTTATAAAGGACTTACTACATACCCCATTTGTGCTTTGCTGACCCAAGTTCAGGCATTGTCAAGCACCCCATTAAAGTAATTTAAGACCAGGTTTAGAACAGTTGATGCAACTGCATAGTCCAACATGATCAATACAGTGTAACGTTCCCAATCTAACTCAACAAGTGGCCCAGGCATACCTCAGCAAGGTGTTAGTCCACATCCGGCATTTTCCATTACGTGGCAGTTCCCAAGTGCTCTGGTATCCTCTGGTGGACTGCAGAATGCAGCAGTCCCCATACAAAACTCCACGGATTCACAGCATCTTGTCCTCTTAGAGGGGAGAGAGGTAGGCTGGGTCCCAAAAGCCCAGGAACAGAGGGACAAACCATTAACCCCTTCCCTGGCCTAGACCAGCCAACTGCCTAACAAACATAATGTGGGCAGCCTGCCTGCAGGCAGGGTTGACACTCTGGGGAAATATAGAAATTTGTGTTTTAGGGAATGTGAGTCAACCAAAACAGACTTCAGCAGGCTTTTGCAGACTTGGTAAAAAGTGTGTTGGAAAGCTTACATAGGGTAGATTACATTATCCTCCTCCTAACATGAGTGTTCAGGCCTGCCACCTTGTCCTGATTTGGCAACTTTAACCTTTTGCATGTTACCGAAAGCCCAACATGTATGTGCATCAGCAAGGCTGATGCACCACATATGCATCCATGGTGCCCCAATCTTGTGTGCTGAAAGTGCACTTATTGGTACAGGCTCCTGGTCATTCTGTGGTTGGCTGTCACATGATCAGGAACTCCACCTCTACCTTCCCTCATTTGGAACCCCTTAAAAGGCCAGCAGGTGTTGTCTAAGGGTTAAATTAACATCCTCTATGTTTATCATTCCCAAACTGGAACCAAAGGTTGCTTTTATCTAAAGGCTTTAGAAATGCTGCTCTAAACCCCTAGTGACCAACCTGCGGCCTGGGGCCACATGTGGCCCTCTGGAACTTTTTGTGTGGCCCCTGGGACCTCTACAGACACTAATCTCTATTGCCCTGCTATAATAGTGATCTCTAGCAGTCTCGTGTAATGTGTCTCCAGTCTATGACTTTCTCTGGAAGCAGATTACAAGTTCTCCAACAACTCCTATATTATATTCAACTGCAGCTTGTCCACAGTCCTTCGCCATCTCTTCTGTCTTTCCTATAGTCTTCCATAGTCTCTGACCCGCTTTGTATCATGTCTAACATCTTTTGTATGATGCCCACAGTCTCTAACCATTTATTGTGTCATCTCTTGTGTCTTCTGTCATGTCTGCAGTCTATAACCATCTCTTGTATCATGCCCGCAGTCTCTGGCCATCTCTTGCGTCATGGGTTTAGTCTCTGATTCTCTCTTGTATCAAGTCACTGGCCTCTTAGTATCCCTTGTGTCATGTCCGCAGTCTCTGGCCATTTCATGCATTATGCCCATGGTCTTTGACTATATCCTGTTGTGTCTGCTGTCTCTGAGATTAAATATTCACTTAATTTGATGTGTGACCCTTTGGTGATGTCGGGGGCCATACTTGAAGTCCCCCATATCAAGAAAATTAACCTCCACTGCTCTAAACTTTATGAAAGCCATGCAAATACTTTGTACACAATGCTGTTATGCAAGCTGATGCCTGATATACTAGACCCTATTTATGCTTTTGTAGACTTTGTAGAATGAGATTTACTGTGGTAGAACTATTCCCAGTATGTCAGTTATTTTGTATTATGGGCTTATGCATGGATGACCAGGGAAAATTTGCTTTAAACATTTTAGTATGGTGGAATACTCTGCTGTTGCAACATAACATTGTTCACAAATGGCTCAGAAAAGTATGGATTCACTGAGCTGCAGAAATAGAATGACCCGCTACAAACTTTTATCTGGTACACAACTAGGGCGTATTCTCACTGTGCACAGATTGGGCATTTAGGTCAGCAGAGACTTCCCAAGTTCTCCACTTCTCCCCACTGTCCTCCTAGAAACCAATGATGTGCTAGTTAGCAGCCCAGATTTGCCACCAGCAGCATTGGTCAAGGGCACCTCTCTTCTTCAGATAGGGTATACACACACCTGTAAAGAAGAGAAAATCTACCATATTGTGTCTCACATACTCCAGGCCTGAAGCCCACCTTCTTAAATAAATAATGTATACACTGATAGCCTTCCAACATACTGTGGAAAAACAGGATAACAGACTGTGCAGCCTCTTCTCCAAGTTCACCTTTCAGGCCATCAAAGTCCAGCCATCTCTCCCTTACTCTCTCCACGATGAGTCCCCCTACTGTGGGTCCCCAGCTCAGGTCTTTCTTCAGGCCTAGGCCCAAAGGCCTTCTTTCTCTTTAGGCCACAAACCGTCATGGCTTAAGTTAAGGATAGCCTGTTCCCATCTAATTCTGCCCAGAACCCTGCCCACACAAGATTATAAAGAGGGACAGAATCCACCTACACTTACACTCGGGGAGGGGTCTCCCTAAAAGACAAAACTTCCTGCTCCACCTCCAGGCTTCTGCCATGCTGCTACATCCATACTGTTAAGCCACACAGTGGTAAGGAGGAAAAGGCACATGGTCACTGAGTTTAAACGCTTTTTCTGCACGGCGCCCTCGGGACCAGGCCTTCTGGCTAAGTTCGGGGCAATTTTTGCTACAGGCCTCAGGGCCTGGTCTGTGCACATTTGGCACAACCACTTTTTTATTTTTTATTTATTTATCTCCCACGTTTTGTCACTTTCACTCTTATGTGTGTGTTTTATTTCCTCACAGGATGGATGGTGTGGGTCCTTGGGCCTGCCCTGAAGTCTAGGGGGAGGATGTGTGGCCTTTTGGTTCCTTCCTCCCCTGTCCCTAGGGGGTTTTCTCTCTGGGAGAGCCCCCTTACCAAGTACTGTGTGGCTGGCTTCGGCTGGCCACAAGGAACGGTGGTCCGCCAGGCCTTTTGGCTAGGTGGACCAAATGGGAACCTTGTCCCTGTCAGGAGCTTCGTGCCCCGGGGGATCAGGGTAGAGGTCCATCCCCTTCGGGGGAAGGACAAAGCACACCCCTAAGTGCACTTTTTCGTGTGGTGTTTTGCACTTGCACTTTTTTTGTGATTCGCTTACGGGTTTTTTCGTTATTCGCACGTTTGCGGACTTAAAAAAAAAAAAAAAAAAGTGGCAAGGAGGACTTTGATGAGGACATCTGATGAGAACACTTATATAAGGGGGGGTCTGATGGGGACACTGATATAATTAGGTACTCAGATGTAATATGGTACTCTGACGGGGACCCTGATGTAAGAAGAGAAAAAAATAAAACTGATTTATTTCAGCTCACAAATATGTGTAAAATTTACAACATGGCCCTTGTACTAAAAAGCTTGGAGACATCTGCTCTAGTCTACTCACCGGTGTCAGCATCATTACACTGCTGATTCATTGTCCAATGATGAGACTGGCTAAAAATCTAAAGCAGACCTTTACCCTCTCCTTCTTATATAAAAGCATCAGCATTACATAAAGTGAATCAATATGCTAAACTCAACACATATAACCAGTTTTGCTTGCCTCATTTTTTTGCTTCTCTCATTATATAATGCTGCTTCCCACACCCTCCTTTGAAACCACACTGCCATTTTTGAAATGGCTATTGCAAAAAAAAAAAAAAGCCTATTCATTAAAAATTTTCCTACACATCTTGAAGGATAAGTTCACCTTTTGACACAAAATAATAAAAGCACATTTTTTTTGCAGGTAAAAAAAATGTGCAGTTATTTTTTTTTTATTTTTATGCAGGAGACTGGAAAACATTGCACCAGCAATCAGCAGACAATAGTGTAGTCATGCAATGCTGTACCCAAATGAAATTTATATCAATTTGTTTACACAAACAGAGCTTTTTTGGTGGTATTTGATCACCTTATTTATTTATTTTTTGTGATATAAACAAAGATCCACAATTTATTAAAAAAAAACAATATTTGTTACTTTACACTATCAAACTATCTCTTCATAATTTTTGCCAAAATATATTCTGCTATATGTCTTTAGTAAAAAAAAAATTCCCAATAAGTATATATTGATTGGTTTGTGTGAAAGTTATAGCGTCTACAATCTATGAGATATATACTGGAATTTGTATTTATTTATTTTAATTTAACCACTAGCCTACAGGGCACTTATACCCCCTTCCTGCCCAGGCCAATTTCCAGTTTTCAGCGCTGTTGCACTTTGAATGACAATTGTACGGTCATGCAACACTGTACCCATATGAAATTTTTATAATTTTTTTTGTGACAGATAGAGCTTTATTTTGGTGGTATTTAATCACCTCTGGGTTTTTGTTTTTTAAACAAACCAAAAGCCACTGAATATTTTGAAAAAAAAATGTTTTTTTCTTAGTTTTTGTTATAACATTTTGTAAATTTGTAAATAGGTGATTTTTCTACTTCACTGATGTGCGCTAATGAGGCTGCAGTGATGGGCACTGATGGGCACTGATGAGGAGGCACTGGTAAGTGGCACTGATGGGCATTGACAGGCATCACTGATGGATACTGAAAGGCAGCACTCATATATGGCACTGTTAGGCGGCACTGACTGGCACTGATAGGCGGCACTGACGGGCACTGATAGGTGGCACTGATATGCAGCACTGACGACACTGATAGGCGGCACTGATGCACACTGATAGGCGGTACTGACTGGCACTGATGGGCGGCACTGACTGGCACTGATGGGTGACACTGATTGGCAGCACTAATAGGTGGCACTGACTGGCATTGATAGGTGGCACTGACTGGCACTGATGGGTGACACTGAAAGGCAGCTCAGATGGGCACTGATATGTGGCATTGATGTGCACTGGTAGGCACTGCAATGTGGCAGTGATGTGGCACTGATGGGCACTGGCAGGTGGCATGGATGAGCACTGACAGCTGGCACTGATGGACACTGACAGGTGGCACTGCTGGGGCTACACAGATCATCAGGGCACACTGATCATCAGTGCCCTGATGATCAGTGTACATGTCCCCTCTGAGGGATGCTGATTACCGGCTCTCCTCTCCTCTCGAGAGGAAAGAAATGGCAATAACCGGCATTTCCCTATTTACATGCGATTAGCTGTGATTGGACACAGCTGATCACATGACTGAGCCGACATCTTCGGCTCTTTCCATTGATCGGTGATCCGCTGTGTCCGAGGGACACAGCACACCATGGATCGCCGCGCTGCGTGCTCCTGGAGCCGCGCATGCATGGTTAGAATGGCAGGACGTCATATGATGTCCTCCCAGATTGAGAGAACCACCTTGCGCCCGTCATTGTACTTTATGGTGGGCGGGAGGCGGTTAAATATTTATAAACTTTTCAGATTAACAAGTTATACAAGTATATCCTTTAAAAAAACATAAAAACAGTATCAAAAACATTAATCTTTTCATCTTATTTCCCCCCCCCAAGCCCCCCCTCCTACCTATGCACCACCCTTCTCCCCCCCCCCTCCAACCCCTCCCCCCCCCTCAACTCTGCAATTTCCTATTCCTTTCTGGAGATCCCAATCTCAACAAAGGAAGAAGCGAGTAAAAACCATATTGTTAGTCCCCCATCAACTCTAGATTTAACTTTGACTATTTATTTTTTTTAATACTACTTATGGCGGCAATCGGTGACTTATAATGGGACTGCTTTAGTGTGGCAGGCAATCTGACACTAACGCTCGGTAGAAACTGACTAACTGCCACTTACATCACCAGTGACATTACCACAGTGATCAGTTCTAATAACATGCTGCCAAACAAGCTGCTGATTAGTCCTGTGCTTTTGATTCAGACTGGAAAAAATACCATTGTAGGTCCAGTTCACTTCTGGTTTTTTTCACTTTGTTGCCAGTCAAGCCCTGCTGGAGGGGGCACTTAGACCCCTGAAACACGTTGACTACTTTTTGAATTGTACCCCTGATCTTTAATAGAATAAAGTTGTATCTGGACCTCTTAGTGTGGTGCTTCAGTTTCAACTCTTTTTACATCACACTGTACTAATGACGCAGGGCAGGTAGGGGTTAACATCTAAGACGATCAAGGGGTTAAATGTGTGTCTAACAAGTGTTTGTGTGTGTACTGTGTGCTGCTTTTACTAGGGATGTAGTTGTTTTAAAAAATGAACGCTATCCCCTGTGTCTGAACAAAGCTCTGTGTTGTTTACAGTCACAGAGCTGTCCTCTGTTAAATACAGAGCCGATCACCAGGTCCCCGCGCACCCCCTGCCTGGGCGCCTGGATCACGTACTAGGCATGTGATCTTGTGCAGTGGGGCTGCTTTGCTGCCATACATCTTTGTAATGTAGTTGGCAAGTGGTTCACCCCCGTTGACGGAGCCAATAACGCACCTGCTGTCTTAGGGTGACAACGTTAATGAACCATACTGTATCTATGGAGGAGCAGCATTATCACCCTAGAACAGAAAGTGTGTTAGAAATACAAAACAAAACCTCACTCTCTTCTTATCGCCATTGGGGGGAGGGAGTTTGTTCTCTAGTCCCAACAGACTTCCTGTTAACATCCTTAACACTTCAGAATGGACAGGACAGTATTGGATTGGCTTCAGGGCAATCTACATCACATACCCTGCAGCATGTCATTAGGGGGCCAGCTGGCAGAATCAGGAAGAGACAGCCAGCTCCCTGCTGACTTAAAAAGGGAAAATGATGGCGCAGGACAGGGTGAGCAGCAGTTAAACAAGGGGTACTGCAGAGCAACACTGGATTCACTGGGTGTGTAAGTAAGATAATGAAGGACAATCTAGCAAAAAAAAAGAAAGAAGGGCTTAGAAAAAAAAATGAAGAAGGGAGTCCATCTGTTGGGGTTTGCATACATTTTAAGCCCCTGGTCACATCAAAGCCGATTTTGAATCCGTGCGACTTCACCGTTTCAAAATCGGGTGACCTGCCGATTTCAGTTGTGATTTGCAAGACATCTGACACAGATGTCTATGCAAATCACAACAAAAGTACTTTAGATACCGGTGCCGGACCAAGTCGGAACCGCACTGATATGCGGACAATAGGGTGCGCCTTGGCATACGATTTGCAAGTCGCATTGCATGCAAATCGCATGCCAAGTCGCACCCGATGTGACCGGGGTGTAAGTGTGATTTCTTTTAAAACACTGTGTTCCCAATAGTGCTAGTTTAATTTTTCCTATAAAAACGAACCAGTGTCTGTCTGATCTGAAAGGGTTAAAATATCTGACTCTGGCTCAGAGGAGTGAATAAAACTCATTCCCAAGTGAGTCATTTGCAACAGAGATCCGTCCTTACAAGGCAAAGAGCCTCACTGGGTGTTGAGTTGCTGTGATCCAGGATCTAAGTAGTTCCCCTTTTTCTGCGAGCATACAGTAAATCTTTCCTTGGTGCACCACTCAAACTGTGTATTACTCTGCTCTGCTGTTTCTGTGACTTCCTCTGCCAGTATGTTACCCCAAGGACATGCGTCCCCCCTTCAGCTTCTACATTGTGCCATGTGGCTTCCTGTTTGATGCTATCAATCATGCCTTTTGATTCCGTCCTCTTTGTGAATGCAAGGGGCATTCTGAGGTTAGATACCAGATTGTCAGCTTTTGCAATGGCGCCCAAGCTTATCTCCACCTTGCACAGTATGCCTGGGACCTGCCAGAGGAAGTAAGAAGATTACAGCTTGAAAAAGATTAAACTATTTAAATCTTCACTGCCAGCTGATATTCTAAAGACAAGGGACTAACCACATTCTGGGAGATCAGAAAATGCCTAACTGCGTAATACTCAGGGAACTGCCACCACTCGGCAGTCTTGGAAAATACTTGGACCTTATACTTCATTCACACAGACCCCTGTGTCCTGGATACTTGCGGTTGGGATCCCAGGTCCCAGGGCTGTAGGCATCTAAATGCACATATCCAGCAGTTAGGGACAGATTCGGTTAGGTACAGATATCAACCCTTGGACCCATGTGCATTAGGCCTAAATATGACAAAATTATAAATACAGTGTTTATTAAAAAATAATTGTGTGTTTTAAATACAACTAGTGTACTTACCCACATTTCTTTTGATAGGGTCATTTGGTATTCTGCTGCACAGCACTACTTATGTTGGTAGAGGAAGGGCCAACACTAAGAGCCATTCATGCTCTTGTGTAGTGCACATGTGCTTTTTGGCTATAGTAGGGGAGGATTTGAATCCCTGTCAGGTTTAATCTGGGAAAATCTGGGAGTGAAGCACCACACCATGATAATATAATCCAAATACAAGTCTATTAGAATGTAAAGAAGACTGTACAAGAATGCCTATGCTTTTCAGGAGCTAAACTTTGACCCCTTCATCAAGACTTAAGAATAGGAAAGAATGTATGTGGACTGGATAAAGGGTGATTTTTATGGTGTATTGTGCGTTGTGTAGGTGTTTTCAGCAGCTGGTTCTGGCATCAACCAAGCCATATACCCTACACAAATACTAATTCCATAATATTAGATAGTAATGTAGCGCTCACCCCTGTAGGAGCCCACTGTTTAGTTTTTGCTCTTTTCCAGTAGATTCCCTCCCAGCCAGCACACAATCTTGCCTCAGTAATCAGTCTAGAGGTATGCTTTTCGAACAATTTACTGCAAAAAAAAAAAACCACTTGAACTTGGATAGGTGTAGGGTAACTATGGTATACTCCAGCAACTTTAAGCAGTTACTGAGGACACTAATCTTCCTCCTAAGAACCTGAGCACAATCCTTGCTTGCAGCAAATTGGGGTCAGCTATGCCAAGACACCGTAGATAATGTCCCCTTTCAGCAACGCTTACTCTAATACAAGAGGGATGGTAGCAGCACACTGTCTCAGGGATTTCTCAACCAGTCTATACTCACCAATGTCCTTGGATAACTGGATGCCTCCCTCCAATATCTTCCAGACACCTCTTCCATGATTCTGCAGACCTGAGCCCAAAAAGATAATCCCTTAGTCAGCGTCAACAATTTTTTGGCAGAATAGACCCCACAGCTAGCATATCTGGGACCTCGATAAACAGCAGACACAAGGCAGGCTTGCCCGGAAGGGCAGTAGCCCTTCAGGCTGAGATCTTCTCCTCCAGGACAAGATACCTCTGCTCCAAGTCTCAGAGTATTTACGCTCTCTCCCCAGCCACCATTTGGGCATCTGGGCTGCATAAATATTAAGCTGTTGATTTGACTTTTCCTGCCCATTATCTTCCAGTACTCTCCTTAAAACAGGAGAAAGAAGTCAATCCTGAAGCCAATGAAAAACGCGTGTATCACCCACCTAGGCAGTTAGAGGGAGATAAACTCCAATTGTTAGCTAGGGCTGAGTAGCAGCCTAGGAGTAATAGCAAACAGGGGGGTCAAAATTAGCTGAGAGGCTCTACACACCAGCACCTCTGGAATTTCCCCCTGCTCTAGAACTTTCGAAAAAGGTCTAGAAGCAGTGGGCAGATTTGAGGAGTGGCTGGTTTTTACTCTTAGAGGATCCTGACCAATCTTCAACAGGAGGCTTGGCAAGGGGCCAGGACAACCTTTAAAAGTAACTGAGCTATCTCAACAGTAGGAGAGTTCAGCCGAGAAAGAGAGAGATGTGAGAGGCAAGGAGGCAGGAGCCTGTGAGGGGCCCAGATGGAGAGGGGCTCGCCTGCAGGCGGAGGACCTTGGAGTGTCCTCAGTTCCATTGGGCATCTCGTACACCCCTTACCCTCTCCAAGTTTTATTAACGCCTAATAAAACATCAAAACAAGCTCAAGGACTGGTCACTGTCTCCTGGCAGCAAGTCTAAATGGAAAATGTGTGTTGCCTGGCTGTGTTGCCTGGCTTTTTGTTAAGCCCGCTGGGTTGAACGGAAAAAAACATAGTGTGTACCAGGCTTTAGAGTTCCATTGCTACCTACCCATTCCTTCATGCAAGCATTTTATTGTTGTCTGTGTTGCCATTGTAGAGATTCACCCTTTCTAATGGTCACAAATGATACTAAAAACAAAAAATGTGTTGCACTTATAAAAGCAATCAGTACATATTACTGTGTATTAAGTATAACACTGTCAAAAGTTGCTCCACATAAATATAACCATAAGTGACTCCACATTTGTGTACACAATCTATAACAAGTACAAATAATACTCC